GTTTGTAAAAGACAGGAATGTGATCAGTTGGGCATGCAGAGCGGTTTGACTTGGCAAGCAGAAAGGCCTCCTCTTCATGTGAAAGGGATCAAAAAAGACATTTATTTGAATGCTGTGAGATGAGCTCTGGGCAAATGGCCCCAACTTTTTAAGTGAAATATGAGGCAAAAATCTCGGCTGAAACAGTGGAGGGGAGGGAGGGAAGGAGCTATTCCTGGAATGTGTTTTATGCTTGTCTGCTAACAATTGGGGGGAAAAATAGTCCTCTAAAAGTTGTTGGGCTATTTGAAGGAGAAGAAAAGAAATTGGGTTGAAGCGGGGGTCATTAATGAGTGCTGAATTCATCCTTGAAACCACCTCCCAAATTCTGATCTCACTTAAGCCCGCTTGCTCCCCAAATCGTATATCACTTCCCACACTTACACAGTGCATGAATATGCTAGAGCATCCATTACTGCCTTGAAATTCACCTCAAAAGAAGTGATCTTCCTCAGTTACATTGATGTCAACAGTAAACTTTGAACAAACTACCCGCTAACCAGAATAGCCTTTTACATGCCATAATATTATCCACGACTTGTCAGTAGAATAACTATAACACTTTAAGGTAGCTATAAGAGCAATGGAATAAATTTCATAAATTTGTAGATTCATGAAAGTTAATTCAAGTGCTGTAAGCCTTATAGCAAGACACTCATAAGGAACCTCATCAATCACCCTATTCCAATACTTTCACTTTATAGATGAGAAAAGGGAAGGGAAGCAATGTGACTTACCCAAGGGCACACAATTAATTTGTGGCAGAACACTTAGAAACAAGTGCTCTAAACTTACATTCCTCCTATAATCTTGTTTACATTACAAATTGGTTTACATTAAATTGTAGGTAGAATAAAGATAAACTTGGACCCAGATCCAGTTCAAATTATTACCTTCCAAATGAAGGCAAAGTCCAAGTTAATGAGATTTTACTATATTTAAAATTAAGAGGATTGAAAAATATAATGACTAAAGATTAATCCAGAAGCCCACACTAATTGAATTTTTCAGAAGTTGACTCTTATAAAATTCATTGAGTAACAATAATAAGACAAAATTTATTAATCATACTTAAAAAAAAATACAAAACTGAGTCAACCAAAGGCCTTAATGATTCCCTAAGTGTGCTCATGTGGCTGAGCTCTAAGGCTTAAATAAATTAAAATGATTATGCTCACTAAGAATCTATTCAGAGGAGACTATCCATTCTCATTTATATCATTTCTTTATAGTCTCCACTATTTTGTGTATAATTAAAACCCCTTCAAAATTGAACGCATAATGCAACCAACAGTATATTTCCATGACTCATATATTTCATCCAAATGCAAATATTAAGAATGTCTTACGTGAGCTTTGCTAATTATCAGTAGATGTGGATTAGCCCCTTAAATTACGCAATTGCCATCATATATCATGCATTGCTTCTTATATACTTGCAAAAATTGCCCACAGGGCTGTACATTTCTAAAAGGGGAATTTTTAAGAGTTATTGAAGTCAGTGTCAGGTAATGGATACGGGCTGGGCAGAGTCAGGAAGAACTACATTCAAATCCTGTTTCTTCACTTACTCGATATGTCACCCAAGGCAAGTCACTTAACTATGCTGAATTGGAATTTCCTCATCTAAAATTCACAAGATCATGAGGGGTTTTTTTTATAAAAAGTGAAATAATATTTGCAAAATGCTTAAGAAAACTTAAAGTACTATATAAATATGAATAGTGATTATTATCATGATTATTATTGGAGACATACACCCTGGGTTCAAATCCTACTTTGTGACCTTGATCAAGCCATTTCACATCTGTGCATTATCTGCAAAATGAGGAGAATGGACGGGATGAAATGTTGGATTGCATGATCTCAAGAGTCTCTTACAGCTGTCAGTCACATTGAGTCATTTATCCAATAAATATCTCGTTAGAGGCTACAATATGCAAGACACTGGACACTATCAAGGTCTACATGCTAAATCTCATGACCTAAATAGACATGTCCTAATGTTAAATTTTAACATTAAACTAATAGCACAAATTCTGATCTTACTAAAGAGTCACAATGATTTTTCTTTGCCAAGGTCCTCTTCTTTATGGTCATTGTTTCTGGTACAATCCTAGTTTGGGAGGCAGGAAGGAGCAGGAATAAATAGGAAAGTTTTCCTCTCCTTTTAAACCCAAAGACAGCTATTTCCCAGATAATTTTTTTTGTACTCAGGCTCTCTATTGGTGATATTTGACATTAAAAAGAAACCTTTTTCTTTTCTAAGTTTCCATTCCATTTATTCATCTATTCTGGAACAGAAATGGGCCACCATGATATCAGTGCTGGCTAATAATTATTTGTCTTCCATTTAAGCCACAAGGCGTAAATTTGTTAAGTGAAAAAGCAGCTCTGACAGTTAATCTCCATGTGTGTCAGAAGGCTGAGTTTACTGCACTGGATAATTTCCCCAGGGAATGGTTCTGGCTCGTGTTTGGAGGGAGGCAATAAAAGAGCCTTGGATCAAGGAGAACAGGTTTATATGATGACTTACTGAGCAAAAGTATAGAATCTAATGAAGATTCCTTTCCATCCATAACTTTTTGACCATAATTTGGTTATCAGTGACATTTTCCTGCATGTTCATTTAATAAGAATAAGAATAAGAATAACAACTAGCGTGTATAAAGTGCTTTGAGGTTTTCAAAGCACTCTACACATTATCTCATTTGAAGGTGTGAGGACCACAACCCTTTGAGGAAGGTGCTCTTATTATTTTCCAGATGAGAAAACAGAAGCTCAGAGATCTCATAATATCACACAGCTAGCAAATGTCTGACACAGGATTTAAACTCAGATTTTCCTGACTCCAAGTTCAACCTTGGACTATGCCACCTAGCAGCTTCATTTTATGTAAATCAAAGAGAAAAATTCCTGAACTTAGAGGGTTCGAGAAAGTGGTGCCAGTCCTTGTATATAATTTTACCAAAATACTGTGGTACTAAGAATTAGCTAGAAATAACCCACATGTAGCCTGTCTAAGCTCTAAGGATCCTTATCCCAACTTCCACTCTTGCAGTCAAGTCTCAGGTCCTGGAATAATACTACATACCCCTCCAGGGTTCAAGAGGATACCCTTGAAGAGTTAGTAGTGATTCTCTAATGCCATCAGCTTGAGACCCCACTGGTATACTTAGTTCCAAGATTATCATTTGAGAATCATAATAGTCAGCAAGTCTTAAACGGCTGTTAGAAAAGAGTACTTATTTCCTAAGGTTGTCCAGTTAAGAACAATTGGTACAAAGCATCCTCAAAAAAGTCTGTAATATCCTCTCCCCCAAATACATACAAAGTCTACAGGGAAATAAGCTCAAGCTTAGAGAGCATGTTTGGCAAAATGGTAATACAGACCCTGGTTGCTAGAAGCACCTATTGTGAGGGTGTTCAAGAAGTTCTCAAAGGCCTTCTTTGCCTGCAGAAGGCTTCAGATTATTTCCAATTTGCCTAATTTCAAATATATTCCAATTTGTCAGAGTCACTGAAGGAAATAAAATGGTTGGTGTCGCTTTTTCTGGAGAAAAGGCAAAAGTGGGTTAATTTATCCACAGGTACAAGTTCAGGCTAGAAAATTTCAAAAACTTGTGGAATGGATCCTAATTCTTCAAAAAAAAAGTTAATGGCATCCTGCCTTGCTTTGCTCCGTGACAAACATAGCCTATCAGTCACAGCATTTTCGCTTTCACGACTCCTGAGAGAAGAGGAAATGAAATTACCTTGTGGAGCCTAGCCCCATACCAATGTGCCATGTTTGGTGGTGCAGCTCCAAAACCCTTCTATTTGAGATTAATTTTCTCATATCGTAGGGAAGGTCAACACTCAAAGTCTGTTCCGTTCAGCTTTTCCCACTTAACAGAAACCTCCATTTTTAACATGAAAAACCTGAACACAGGGAGCAACTGAAACTGAATTCTATCTGCACTGAGTCTAACTTAAAATGTGACTTTCATCAGGTCATGAAAAGGTATCTCAGGTTAATTTTATTCATTTGTATAAAGGAAATGTAAATGCTGATTTCTTCAAAGTGATATCCAGATAACCTGATCTAATGTCTCAAGCCACTCTCTGTTGAGGTCTCCAATCATGTTCTAATCTTTTCGTTGGGGACATTATGACCTAGGACTGCACTGCAAACTTGGCATGTGGAAACAGTGAGCATCCTACAGAAATAATAACAATAGCATTCTTATAGCACTTCAAGGTTTGCAAAGTACTTTGTTTATGTCATATCATTTGATTCTCACAACAACCCTTGGGGTATATGCTATTATTATTCTGATTTTACAGATAAAGAAAGTGAGAAAAGAAAGTGACTTACCTAGTACCACAGTTAGCAACTCGGATCTTCCCGATGCCAAGTCAAATATGTTAGCCAATGTGCTACCAAGCCACCTACCACGTTACACAATGTAATGGACATAGTTGGTAATGTATCATAATTCAACATCAGTAAGTTAACGTGGAGAATATGCCATTTGCCCACAGAACTCTATAATGAAGATATTTTCCTAATTCTTTGCCTAGAAAAAAAGTATCTTTTAATAGTAATGGTAGCTAAAAATTTGTATAATGCTTTAAGGTTTGCAAAGTGCTTTACATAAACATTACCTTTTTTCATTCTCACAACAACCCTGTGAAATAATTGCTATAATTTTCTCTATTTTACCAATGAAGAAACTGAGGCTGAGAAAGAATTAGGGTTTCACAAGTGTCAGGTGAGATTAGAACTCAGTCTTCCTGATACCAAGTTCAACAGCACACCCTATGAAGTGATTGATATGTTTTAATTCCCAACCCAAGAAGCAAAGATGCAGAAATAACCACAACAGTTTCTCTTGTAACTAGTGCTTGAATGGAAACATGTCACAGGATAAACTATTGACTTATCTCTCTGTTTGGTTTTGCCTTTTCCTCTTTCGTAGTCATCTACTGCCAAGGACAAGGATGAACAAACTCTAACGGTAGGAAGCAATGCCTGTGTTTATATCTGCACGTCTTCCTACAGAGAATGGGGAGTTGGGTGGGAATGAGAGTGGGAGGAAAGAGGGAATTGATGGGTATGACAAATTATCCCTACCCTTAGATATTTAGAAGTTTTAATCTGCTAGTGGGTTTTTATAAGATGCTCTACAATTAGAGATAATTGCATTCCAACATAAGCTGACAAATTATTCATGCTACTAGGTTTCAAAAACATTGTCATCTTCACTGTTGTTTGGCATGAATTTTCTTGGGAATTGAAATAACAAAATACTTCCTAAACAAGTCCCAGGAGTGTAGTGCTGGTATTTAGGGACTGTTAGGGGATCTGTTCCTTTTGTTTGATGCATAAGGAAGCAATCTGCCTCGCACCTTTCAGGATCCGCAAGTATTTTTTGGATAGGTGGTTTTTACTGGTTAGAAGAGAAACATTATTGAAGGGAATCTATTCAATGCTACTTGTGTGATTCCTACTCAGAACAAGCTCCATTTTTGAAACCACCAGTGGTCATGTGTGCATCACCGAGTTCTATAGTAAAAGGGAACTAGAAGAATAAGATTTTAAATTCCTTCTACATATATATATATATATGTATATATATATATATATACATATATACATACATACATATTATATATATACACACTCATATATAAATATATACATATATAGATAGATATACATGTATAAATACAGATAATCATTGGAGGAACAATTGTGTATGAAAAACCTCTATGTCCCACTAGTTAACTTTATTTTGTTAGTTGTTGATTTGTTTTTGACAAATGTTCTGCCAAAAAATACTCTTTTTCCGCCCTATACAACTAGCAAGCAGATGTTTATATTATGGGCACTGAGGGGAAGATTTTCACATTTATTTTGTTTAGCCATAGACGACAATTATGCTTTGGTACAATTTACCATTTCCCTCCTCAAACCTGCTGTTACCTTCTTTCAAAAAAAAAATATATATCCAACAAAACCAGATAACTCAGGAAAAGACTCAAGAGTTTGGAAGGGAAAAGTCAGTGTAGAGATGGATACCTGTATGTGACACCTTCTACTTTGTCCTGGTGTGTTCAAAACACTTGTTTTCACTTGATAATTCACTACTAAGAAACCTCTTTCCTCTCTAGCTCATGAAATCTGGAAATGTTGTTTCCAGCAATATAGTCATTATTACAAAATTCTACTACATAGAGAGTGTTTGGATGTCCTGTGGAGTTTGATATAATGACATTTCATATAAGTTAAGCTACATAAGGGTTTCACGTAGAGTGTGGGGAAGCTTGGAGAAAGTGCTTTATTTTCACCTGACAGCAGTTGCATCAAACTTTTCTTCCAAAAGTCAGATAAAAGTGTAAGTTCCTACTTTATCTTGGATTTTTGTCTGTATAAATTTGACCTACGTTCCTTTATTTCTCATTTATTACAATAATCCCTGTAATGGCAAAGGGATTGTTGCTGTAAAGTACAAAAGGGCACCCAAAAGGTAGGAAATGAGTATGGTCCAGAGAATGAGGCTTTTTTAAGAGCTTGGGAGCAAAAAACTTTGCAATTTTTATCTTTAAAGAAAAAAAAATAATTTGGAATGCTATTTCTTTAATTCTTCATGGAGTCTAGATGACTTTCCTTTTGTCCTAAATTGCTTTTCCCAATCCCTCTCAATTTTAATTCTTTCTCTCTGCTAATTGTTTCCTATTTATCCTGTGTATAGCTTGTTTATACATATTTATTTACTTATTGTCCCCTCCGTTAGATTGTAAGCAGGGCAGGGACTGTCTTTTGTCTCTTTTTGTATCCCCAGTGCTAAGCACAGTGCCTGGCACATAGTAGGCACTTCATAAATATTTATTGACTGACTGTCAAGTAATATTATTTAGTAAAACCATCGTAAGTCTATAGCTGTAAGTGACCTCAGAGGCCATCAAGCCCAACCTTTTCATTTTATAGATGGGTAAACTGAGGCTCAGTGAAGTAAGTGACTTGCCCACCAAAGCAGAGGTAATAAGTATTTGAGGCAATTTTTCAACCTACAGTCTGGTTCCAGAGCCAGTATTCTCTCCATGGTACCGTGCCCTTGAAAATAGCTCCTATTAAATTCAATCAACAAGCCTGTATTAAGTGCCTGCTCTGTGCCAGGCACATTTTTAGGTCACTGGATATATACAAGTACAAAGAATGAAAGTCTGCCCTCAAGGAACTTACATTCAATCAAAGGAGAAAACAAGTAAAAATAGAAATAGATATAAAATATATATAAAAAATACAAGGTAATTTTGGAGGGGAGGAGCCAGTAGCTTAGCAAATCAAGAAAGGCCTCAGAAAACTTAGGATCCAGCAGAAATCCTCTGAAACATTCGCTACAGTTTGATGTCCTTAGGCTATTATTTTCAACAGAAGGGGAAGTCCTTCTTCCACTTTGGTATTGGAAAGGACTTTGAGAATATTTGGAAAAAATATATGGACATGTGGTAGAGACAAGAGACAACCAGTCCAATCAAGCAACCAATCAATAAATATTTATTAAGTTTCTATTCTGTGCCAGGCACAGACCAAAGGAGTGGATTAGAAGGGATAACTAGCTTAGAGGAAGTGTGATTAGTGGATTAGTAGTTTAGATTGCTGGAACTGGAATTAGAAAGACTTGGTTCCAATCCTCCTTCAGACACCCATTGAGCGTGTCCCCGAGGGCAAGTCTGTTTGCAGAGGCAGGGAGCGAACTGAGCACTGGGCCTAGAGTCAGGAAGCCCCAAGTTCGAATCTGGCTTCAAACACTTACTAGCTGTGTGACCCTGGGCAAGTCAACTCTGTTTGCCTCAGTTTCTTGAAGTATAAAAATAGGGATAATAGCAGCACTTACCTCACAAGGTTTTGTGAGGATCAAATGAGATAATATTTTTCAAAGAGCTTTGCACAGTGCCTGGCATGTAGTAGGCACTATATAAAAGCTTATTTGCTTCTCTTCCTTCCCTTTCACTTCTCTGGCCCTCAGTTTCCCCATCCGTATGTAACTGGACTCGATGACATTTAAGGTCCCTTCTGCAGTCCTATAGCTGATTGTCTCATAGAGATGAAATACATGGTGTTACAGCTGCCTTCCTTCTGTTGACTAGATCCTTTCCTTGTCTCTCCCTTCAGACTAAGCCACGGCTCCAGCGAGGTGGCAGCTCTGCTTCTCTGCATAATAGCCTGATGAGGAACAGCATCTTCCAGCTCATGATTCATACCCTTGACCCACTTGCCGAAGGTAAATACCAAGATTGACTTTTTTTTTAAGTTTCCATAGCACTAAACAAACAATTCATCTTTTCACAAAATTCTTATTCATGCTTATGCTGCTGTATCATATCATGGTTTCCTAGTCTGGTCTTCCCCAAGAGACTCTCTAGCTCCCTGCTCCTGCTTGAAAGCCATTCCTTTGGCCTTTGAATGATTTTCCCCGTCCCCTTGTATTACTAGTAATAATAGTAACAATCTGCTAACTTACTCTCTTGCCCCTTGTCTTAAATAAAGCTTGCCTTGATGCAAAGACGATAGCAAGGCTGAACATTCCCTGCTTCTTCTTTCTGAGGTTTCCAAAGGAAGTTATGTATAAATAAAAATCTACTCTGTGCTTTGTAATTTTGCTGGATCTGTGATTTTCAGTGTGGGGTGATTCCCCCCACCTATTGTACATTACAATCCTTCTGTAGTAAGACTCTATTTTATTACATTGGGGCCCGTTTTTTTGGTTTTTTTGTTTTAGTTTTTACTTTTTACAAGAAAGAAAACTAATTTGGAATATTTATTCTCTTGATTCTCATTGGAACCCAGAAGGCTTCTCTTCCTGTGTGAATCTTTCTTTAAATTCTCTGTGGAAAGTACAACCTCCAACATGGCAGAGGCTTTTTCTCTTGTTCTTTTAATATCTCAGAGACACCGATGTAGCACTTACAGAAATGTGTATGCCAGTGACCCTGTGATCTCATCAATGTCAGAATTCCCTCCATCAGTGCAGATCATAACTCATCCATGTCATCAGGTAATGATACCTGAACATATATCCGTCACATCAAAAAGAGAAAAAATGAACACAGAACTCACAAAAAAAAAAATGTGAGGCCTTATGTCTTCTAAATAGATGTGATGAATTATTAAACAGTGAATAGTATTCATCATAAAATGGTATTATTGTCTTAGTAATGACTACTTCTAGAGGGGAGGTTGAAAAAACACTCTGAGATGGTTTAGCCACTAAGGATCATAAAGTTAGGGCTAGAAGGTAACTTAGAGGTCACCTTGGTCAACTATCTTGTTTCACAAGTGTGGAAATAGTCTGGAGAAATTAAAAGGTTAAGTGATTTGCCCAGTAATAGTCACTAATTAAATTATTAGCTATTTAATAATTAGCTAATTATTAATGTAAATTAATGGCTTGCATTTATATAGCACTTTAAGGTTTGCAAAGTGCTTTACAAATATGATCGCATTTGCTCCACACAATGACATTGAGAAGTAAATGCTATTATCATCCTCGCTTTACAGATGTGGAAACTGAGGTGGAGAGAGCTTAAGTGACTAGCCCAGGGTCACACAGCTTGTAAATGTCGGAGGCTGGATTTGAATTTAGGTCTTCCTGACTCGATGTCTAGCACTTTATTCGCTGCACCCCCTAGTGGTGGAGCCAGTCCAGATTTGAATCCCTGTTCCCTGACACCAAATCTAGCAGTCTTTCCCCTGCACTGGCACCCCCTAGAAAGTCACTTTGTCATAGGTCGGAGGCTCATCATATATCTCAAGCTAAAAGGGCCCTGAGACCACATTGTCCAATATCTTCGTTGTATGTTTAAGGGAAATTTGGCCCAGGAAAAAGAAATGATTTGCCCCAGATCCCACAGATAATAAGCCTCAGAGGCAGGATTTGAATTCAAGTACCCCGACTGTATTCCTACCATACCACACAACCTTCATCAGTTTCTCAGATACCAATAGGATGATGGGAGAAAAATGAAGGACAGTTTAATTCATCTCTTGGGTTCTATTACAAACAAGGCTGTGAAAAACTTTTTTGAATATTAAAGCATTGCCTTGCACTCTCCCTTCTCTCCCCACCTACCCTCAAAAAAGTCCAGGCTTTTGTTACCTTTGTCTTCTTCCTGTTATTCCCAAAATCCATTCCTGAGATAACAAGGAAAGGTATTAGTGTATGCCCAGTTTAAATAGCATCTGGAATGTCATTCTGCAGATCTCTGCCAATGTGGCTTGAAAGATCTAAATTTCTCTGCAGATTTTTGGCTTGTTTTGAGGCAAAGCAGAACCTAAATCGGAGATGTTTGTGACTCAGAGTTGGCCCATTAATGCTTTTCCAGAAACACCTGGTGCTTGTTTGAGCCTTGCTGTAATTAAACTGTTTATGCCTGCTGCAGTGAGATGGGCCTTCTGAAGCCATGCTGCTGCTTTCAAGGTTAAACCTCTTCCTGAAAGATATGAAGGGCTCCAGTGGTCTGAATCACAGGGAATGCTGGGAGCCATAATCATTTCAGGACTTGAGTGATTAGGAAATATGTAAAGCACTTTAATATTTTTAAATTGCTCTATAACACAGTTGGCAAGGAAACAGATTGTTCTGTTTTTTTCTCTAAACTGCAATCATTTTTCATTCTCCCCCAAAATAAATACTCAAGCCCACACCTCTCAAAAATAGGAATCTATTTTTTGGTTCCAATCTAATCACTTGAGTTCACACTCCCCAGTAGGGGGGGAAGTCTCCTTTTAACAGGGCTTACCATGCTAGTTGCTTTACTAAGTCTTCATTAAAGTTTATAGCGCTCTCTCTCTCTCTCTCTCTCTCTCTCTCTCTCTCTCTCTCTCTCTCTCTGTCTCTGTCTCTCTGTCTCTCTCTCCTCTCTTTCCTCTTTCTCTCTCTCTCTCTCTCTCTCTCTCTCTCTCTCTCTCTCTCTCTCTCTCTGTCTCTGTCTCTCTCTCCCTCTCTCTGTCTGTCTCTGTCTGTCTCTCTGTCTCTGTCTGTCTCTGTCTGTCTCTGTCTCTCTCTCTCTCTCTCTGTCTCTCTCTCTCTCTTTTCCTCTTTCACACATACACACACACACACACACACACACACACACACACACACACAGAGCCCTGTTACTTTAAAGCACTATACATAAATTGCTATGACTTTCACTTTTTTCAGAAATATGTTGTTTCAGTGTGACATATTGATTCAACTCTCAACCCCAATCATAAGGTCTGATTTCATTTGACAGCATATTATGGCACTGCAAATCTGTAGAACATAGACATCGCCCATAAATATAAAAGATGTTAATTTTTTTTTAATTTTAAAGAAAGAACAGGGGATGTTTAATCTAGAGAGGAGATGACTCAGAAGGGGCATAATAACTGTCTTCACATATTTGAAGGGTTGACATTTAGAAAAGGTTTTTATTTTTTCCTTCAAAAAAGGATATTTTTAGGGACCCCACAGGGCAGAAGTGAGATCAATGGGTATAAATTGACAAGAAACAAGTTAAGGGAATGTTGGCCCAGGGAAGACATCAGTAGAAAGACTTTAACAATTAGATTCTCCCAGAAGAAGAATGAGTTTTTTCAGGTGGTAGTAGATTCCTCAGTAATGGAGGCCTTCAAAGAAAGCCTGGATGATCACTTGTCAGAGGTATTAAAGAGGAGATTTTTGTTCAGGTATGTCTTTAAGGTTATTTCCAACTCTGAAACGCTGATTCTTTATCTCATGTGAGTACGTCTTGTGAGTTAACATTAAAGCTAACCTGGGAGAAAGAAAGAAAATAAATATCTCCTTACATCTTCTTGTGTCGAATTTTTCACTCCCAGAAACCTTTGGCAGCTCTGTGCTGAAACCTTCAACTGGTTTATAGACCCTCACCTAAATAAGCCAGTATCAACTATGAGGCAGGGAACTGCCCCAGTGTCCCTTTAGGAAAGGGCTAGTGTTCCATGAATAGCTTTAAAACTCTAACTCAGTGTGCTCCAGCTTGGGCTCTGGCTCTACTCTACCAACTCCCACTGAAACTGGCAGGCTAGGTCCCCAGAGAGCCCTTGCTACTTCTCTCCTTCAGGGTTTGGGGAACTTTAATCCATAGAGGGTCAAAGCCCCCCGAGGTGCTAACATAGGTTTTTCTAATGCTGTAGCTCATGAGAACACCCACCATGGTCTTTCCCCCTCCCTCCACACCCACTCCCATTCCATGATTAACCAACTAATATCAATTAGTCAGACATAATCATCTTTTAGAAAGAGACATTTAATGAGGTGGTATAGTAAGAAAAGTTGGTATAAAACATGCCCACAAGAGTATGACACACTTTCTCACCATTATTTATACAGTGCAGGGGAAAGTGAGCTTAAGCTTAGAAAGCACATGGGACAATGGGGTAACATAGGGTTCTCACTTGATAAGGTACATTTCCCCACTTGCAAGTTCCCCTTAGGTGCTGTCCAGTTTTTCTTGTGGGGTCCTCTTGGAGTTTTTGTTTGTTTTTTGGTGAGGTGTTCGGGGTTAAGTGACTTGCCCAGGGTCACATAGCTAGTAAGTGTCAAGTATCTGAGGCTGGATTTGAACTCAGGTCATCCTGACTCCAAGGCCAGAGCTCTATCCACTTCGCCACCTAGCTACCCCTCCTCATGGAGTTTTAACCTGCTTTTCCTCAGCATGTCTAGTTTGTCCTGAGCTCCTGATACAAACAGCAAAACCTCCAAAGTTCCCAAGATCCTCTTCTGGTCCAGGGAGGAGACTGAGGCTGTGCTCCTCTTCCCTGCCCTAGTAATTCCTCTTAGGGGCTTGGCCAGAACTCACCACTGAAACCTCTTCAATTATGAGCTGATCTACTATTTTATATAAAAGCCAAAGGATGTGACCAAGTTTCTTCAACTAATACCCACCCACATCCTGTGGAGAACTATTCCGTTTCCTCTAATGGCTTTCTAGGACCTCTTGTCTAAGGCTCTTGATTAATTGATTGATTCAACAGAGGTATTATCACATCATTAAACTCATTACTTTTAAGTAGGGTGATATTTGATTGACTCAATTGATCCCTATCTTACAGTGCTCTCACTACTGGAGCGTAGAACTGATGATGCTGCTGATGATAATTTCCCTTAGTTAAGGTTCAGCACATTTATCCTGACAATCCACAAAACTCTCCAAAGTTGCAGAATTCTGAGCCTACTTTGGAAAAAGAGATATAACAGTCTTCCTTACATTCTTATAAATGGTCAAGGGATGA